TTTTTTTTTTGTTTATAGCTGTTATGATAGATATAACAAGAACAAATGAACAAATATTACACAACTTTTTCTTTGTCACTATTTAAGACGGGTATTTGAAGACAATGTAGTCAAATTTTTGCAGATAGTACTGTTTATCAATGTTAGTCAATTTGAAATAATAACCAAAAAAGGAAATAGAACTGCTTTTTTGGTGTATTTTGAAAAATGATTGTTGCAAAACTAAATGTAAAATTTAAATAGTTTAAATGAGTTTGCTAGAAGTGATAGAAAAAAAAGTTCTGTTTATTTCAAAAAGAATTTTTTAGAGTTATAAAAAGTAAAAGCAATAAATATTATTTTCAAAAAAAACTTACGCTTCTCTCTTCCATTTTTATTTGAATACACTTCTGTACTTTTAATTATCATCATCTTGTTTCGTTTAGTCTCGCTAGTAATCTAAGTTTTATTGTATTCTTCAACTTGCTTTAATAAGTTTTAATTATCCTTTGTCTGTAGAGAAATTCATGTAAAACTTTCTTACAAAGTAGTTCTCAAAAACGGTTTTTTCAGTATAGTGCTGAGTAACTGATTTCATGGAGCAAACTAGGAACAAATTAAAACCAATCTGCAACAGCCGGTGTATTTAGCATATTTATTAAACCGTTCTATACTCTAATTTCTAAAAAACAAGCAAAAAGCTCAGAACTGTTTGCTTAGTCGATATGAGTCATAAAACGAGAAAAAAATTAAAATATCATAAAGTTGTTTTCTAAATTTTGTTCTTCTATCATTCTTTGATCACCAGTCACCTTATAAGTTCTCGCTGATTCAAACTCTCTTATTCCTAAAATTTATATGTGGCCGGTAAATGGTTGTTGTACTTGCAGTTTAATGTATACCAAATTTGGTCTGTTAAATACCATATTTTTTAATGACTAGTTGTTTCCCTTTTTTGCGAAGTCCTCTAGATAACTCCTCGTCATCATTGTTAACTTCCATCAGCAGTTCCATTGACAAACAGCACTTGAGCAGAATTTCCTTTCTCTTCAAACCACTGATATGCCATTCTTTCGCTGACCATTTGGATGTTCAGAAAATTAGCTAAACGGAAACTATTTAGCCTTTACCTGAAGAGAAATTTATGGTTTTATTAGTGCGGTCACATGAACCGCTGTTTCTTCGCATTTTACTTGTTGTAGGCAAGGAATAGGCAAACAGAGAGAAAGAACAGGAGAGATAAACGGGACAGATGGCTGAAAAGAATAACAACAACTAGGTGATAGGATCGATAAATCATTTGCCAATTTCGGCGGATCCAAAACAAAACCAAATCTGAATGGTAGCGTAATCTTTCAGCGAAAAAAACTCCTTTGGCTACATGTATGTATATATACATATACATACATACACATACGCAAAAACGTACCCTACACTTTGTGGCATTCTTTGCCATTCTAATTTTTTGGGGATTTTAGATGCCTCGCTGTTCATTTTTCAGTGCAGTTTTTTGTTTCGATGCTCAATGCAGAAACCACTTTTAAAGGACCAGAGATCAGCGACGTTTAGGGCAGTACGTTTTTGCTGTCAACCAAACTCTTACTCCCCATCACTCTCTCAAATACTATTCTTAGTAGGTTTATACCTTTCTTGATCCCTAATTTTCTTCTCTTCTCTCGTTTTTCAAAAAAAAAAAAAAAAAACACTGTTTTTCAGATGCTTTGTGTTTGTTAGCTACCCAAAAAAAATCTAATTTTTTTATATTTCTTAAGCCATAACAACGGAAGCAAAAAAGAACTATAGGAATTGCGGGTTGGAGATGGGGGCAAAAAAATGAAAAACACATGCTATTATTTTATTGAGATAATGAGAAAAAAGGATTTAGAAATGGAAAAACCAAATTAGAATCTGACAGAAAAAAACAATTGGTAATCAATGCATGAACAGCCGCTGTATGATGGTCATCAAAACTTGGCGACTTATGTTAATAAAGCATTATTTTGTACGCACATCAGTTAATTATTAAATTTGTCCAGCTAATTATAGACTTTGTGCTATCATAAGTGTTGCAGAATTTCCAACGTTTTTTCTTTACTTTTTTCAAAACTTGAAGTTGTTTTAGTGCTACGTTTTGTTGAAATGCCAGGGATGCTGCTTGTGCAAAAGGTTAAAGGTTTATAGATATTTTGTTGACGCATAAGAAAAAACCGGTAAAACAATAAATAAATTTGCAACTTTGTAAATTAGTGATTATTTTTTTAGTTTCTATCTCATTTTTAGCGAATTGTCGCTGAACATATAAATAGAAGAATAAGAATCTTGATTTGTAGGTTGATAGTAAGTTCTTATTATAAACTTGTTACGGAATGATAGTGTGCAGGAATCTCATTATCATTTTTTTCTGATATTGCTTCGTTGAGTGCCGTGTAACAAAGTAGTTGATGTACCTGTAAAAAATTATGCGTAACTTTTACAGTATAGGGCGAAATAACAGTATATTTCTTCTATGGTAAAAAGTAGCTTGAAAAAATTCTAAAAAATTTAGTTTTAAAATGTCATCTTTCTAAACTTAACCTAGTGACAAGAAGAAGTTAGTGATTCTTGCTTTTCGACTCTATAAAGTTAAGACATTTTAAGAGCTTATTGAAATGTATCATACACCTTAGTCTACAGTATGCTTGACATTAACTCTTCGTAATTTGTTTTAACTAAACACATTTATTTCTTGAAATCTTACAGTTTGCAAACAACAATTTGTTTTCGTAGTATTCATTTATCTGACAGTTTACTCTTTGTTTGTACGATCCATGCTCAAAACAATCTTTTTTCAATTACCTGTAAGAAAACATAACCTAAATATGTTTAAAGTTGGTTTACATAGTACTTAGCTGGCTTGAAATATCTGTAGATTTTTACCTGAAATTTAATGCTAGATATCAACTGCTGTTTATTTTATAAATGTTTTTTTTTTGTGCAGGTCATAAAAGGAGTCATTCTTCATATTTGGATAAATAAGTAATAAATATTAAGTTTTAGTATTTCAAAGTAACAGAGCAGTTATGAAAAAGAAAAAACAGTTTAGTGTTTCTGTATCTAATTTAATCATTCAACTTTAGCAACAGAATGCTGCAGCCTATCTTATATTTTTCCTTCACCGTCTCTCCTGTTGTCTCTTCCTTTTTCTCGTATTGTACCACAACCTCTGAACAGTTTAACTGCTGCTCCTAAGGTTTGCTATAATTGGAAACGGGTTTATGTGGATATTGAAACAGGGATGTTAACGTTGGAGACAGAACTAAACATATTGTTCATAATGTATGTCAACCAGTCTAATCATTCTTTCAACTAATCCAGAAAAAAAAGACATTTATTGATATTAATAGTGCCTAAGACACAGTTTTTTGGAATTTTTTTCTTTTTTTTTTAGCATAATTTTTTAGAAACTTTTGTTATTTTTGGCATAATTTTACTTAGACTGTTATCGTTTATACTTTTGGAGCACTTTTTACTATAGCCTTTTTGTAGCGCTTAATAGATATAGCAAAATTATAAGAAAAAAAGCTAAAAAATATTTTTTTGATTTTTTTTGTATTTTGTCAAAATGTTAGCACCTTTTCAATTAAATCTTTTTTTTTCTCTTTGTCTTTTTTGTTTTAATGGAATAATAAAGTGTCGCAAAGAACACATTAGTTGTTTAGGTGTTGTGATTCAAAATTTTTATAATCAAAATATACAGTTTGGTATGCTGCATTTTGTATTCATTGTTGATTTATTTTAAGTTCAATTGTTTTGCTCTGTATTTGCTGTAACTGTATAAGTGCTAGAAATGAATAAGATATAAATAAATGAAAAGAAAAAAAGCAGTAACAACAGCTGCAGCAAACGACAAAATAGCCGAATTGAACATTTCGAACTGTCAATAAGGTGTTTATCAAATGGTGAATTACTCTGATCATCTTTGATCTATTAGTATTTGCTGTTGTTGGCGACGGTCGTCATCCGTAGTTTGTAGTTGCCGAAATCTCGTAAGCAGTCAAACAATTAACAGCAGCAATCACATTGATCTGTTATAGTGGAAAAACAGGAAAGTCATAGGACATAAGCAGTTTAAAATTGAACATTTCTGATCTGGTGATGTTGCCGTTGTTGGTGTTTTTACTACAAAAGACTGCTGAGCCTTTTACGAGCAAAAAAAAAAGTTTCTTTTGTTGTTGTTGTTTAAGTGAACAGAAAACAGTGGTTTTATTTTATATTTTTTTGTTGTTGCCTCATCTTTTTCTGTCCTTTTTTTCTTTTATTCTTCAGTTGACCAAAAAACAGCAACATTTTTTTTTTTACATATATATACATACATCCTTTTTAAGATTGTTTTCAATAATAATGATAAAGTACTGCCGTTTCTTCTTTTTCTTTCGTTTTATTTCTTTTTAGGCCAAAAAAATGATGCTAATTGAGTGCTACTAATATGTCAAATCTGCATCGTCGTTTTCAGCTGTTGTTATATAGTGAATCTTTTTTTTGCTTATAAACATTATAACTTTCTTAATACTTGCATAAATCACTGATCATCGGTCTAAAGTGTTACGAGTGTTAGTCATTTCTGTCGCTTTATTTAACAGGCAATTCAAATGAGATACATGACTGTCTTTGATGGCAGTAATAACAAATGGTTTGATGATCGAATACCAGTCTCATGTAATAGAAAAAATGAAATTGAATGACAAAAAAAAAGCAGATTATAATTGATTTTTCTCAGTTATTTGCCTTTGAGTAGTCTTAATTGCTGTTAACACGTCGTTTATACCTACTACTTAATTTTTAGTAATTGTTTGCTTGTTGTTTTCTTCCTTTTTTTTTGGCTAACAAACTGTTAAGTAAACCGTTCAAATAACTGTAAAAATTACAGGCACTAAAAAGGTGTTAAAATGAAAGAGGCTTATGAAATTGAGGAAAACTTAAACATGGAAGTGGAAATTACCTATGAACAACACGTACAACAGAATAACGAAAGATTACTTTCAATTAAGGAGGTATTGTGCTTTGATGCTATTATAGAATTGTTAGAAATAACTTAAAATTTTGCAGATGTACACTTTATATTGTAGTTTATTGAAGGAAACTTTGTGTATTTCCAGCTTTCAAATTTTCTGCAAAAAATGCATTGAAAGATTTTGTTTCTGCCTGGTAAATTCAGAAAAAAAAAAGAACAAGAATGCAGTCTTAATAACAGTACTAATAGTTCTGCTTCAACAGATACGGAAGTAAATCTGTTCTTTTTTTATCCTCTTTTTTTTTAAATTTATTTCTGCAGTTTATTAACAGCTTTTTTGTTTTAGCAACTAAACGATGCCAGAGGTTACGAAAAAGGTTGTCGAGAACTGTTAACTTGGTGTTCAGATTCAAGAGCTTTCCATAACTCATTTGAGATTAATCTGCTTAACGTTATAAACGTAAGTATCTCTTTGCAAAAAATAAAAATAAAAAGGGATTAACTATCACAACTTATCTAATAAATTTTGATTTTTACAAATATAAGTTACAACAGAGAGTTTTATAAAGAGAATTAGATTAACACAAGCATGCCCACTGAATATCAAGGATGTTCAAAGATTGTCAGCGTAGATACAGATGTATACCAGATGAATGTGATAGAAATGAGAGTCCTGGTCGGTCGCTGATAGGTATTTAAAAATCAATTTTTTTGTTTTAGATTTATTTTGATCTTAGAAAAAAAAACTAAAAAACTTTTTAGCAATTAAAATTACATCGGCAAACTTAGATGGAAAACAAGAATAAATGAAACATGATGGACTGTGTTTGGGTGTTGAAAAAGTCAAAAAAAAAAAAAAAGCTAATTTGTTTTGTTCTTTGTTTTGCTTTTTTTTTCTGTTTATTCGCTTTTGCAACTAAAGTACTATTTGCACACTCCACTGTTATTGGGTTTTTTGATGTTGCAGTACATATTTGTAGAGCAAAAAAAACTACACCGGAGACAGATAGATAAACGACCAAGGTAGAAAAAGCTAAAGCAGAGAAAGCAGAATTTTAGGGAAGGAAAAATGTTTCAGTTCAGTTGTCAGCGTCGTCAAAAAAAATAAAAAAAAACGACAATGAAAAAGATATACATTGGGCAGATAAAAAACATAAAAAAAAAAACGTTTTTTCTTTCAATTTTAGTTTATTATGCTCTACGATTTTCTGTTCAGCCGTTTAACAAAACGTTCAATAATCTTTCTTCTTTCACTTCACTGTTTTTGCATACTCTGTTGTTATTGGTACTGTTGCTTTAAATTTCTAGACAAGAAAAAAGTTAAAAAAATAATTCTTCTTTTTCGTTAATTTGTAAAAAAGATACTGAAAAGAAAGCTGTTTTTATATACCAACACATAAAATAATTGACTTTTTAAAAACATCTTTTGATATCAAAACAAAAAAAATATCGCTTTTTTTACCAATTTTACTTATTAGCTTTTTTAAAAATTCATTAACTCAAGCAGTTATTACTACTGTACGAGAGGAAGAACTTAAGGATAAGAAATTTGTGGAGGAAAAAAGAAGGATTTTGAGAAAAAGCAACGGCTAAATAGAGAGGAAGCGGGAAAGCGAAAGAGATGAGGAAAGTTAGGAAAGGCGGTAAAATTGTGTAGGGAATGTTGTGGTAACGTTCAAATAACCGGTGAAAAGTGATCTGTAAACGATGACTTTTCAAAATCTGTTCATCTGACAACATTATGATTCCATAACGTTATCGTGGGAGAACAGAGGAAGAACGGTAGCGGAGAGGAGAAGGGGTGCAGGGAGTTTCATTAGCAGATAACGCATTTGCAGCATTCATCTGATGTCATGGTTTGAGCATCTTAAGTTCGTACATGGAAATTAGCAATAAGAGCTTACTAAAGTTTTTGTCGCGAATAATTTACTGATAAAACTCTACATTTTATCGTCCCTTATTAAAAAACTTAGTACATTTTAGTAGAAGAGGCAAGCTAAACTCTTTTTTTTGCGTATGCAGATAAAACCAATAAATAAATTGCAAATCAAAAAAAAAATCTGTTTTGCTGCTTAAAATCAAAGGCAATCTGTTACCGCTGTTCAGTTGCATGACATAACAAAAAAACCAACTTTTTTTACTTTAAAAAGATAAAAAAAAATGAACAGCAAAATATGCAAACCAAAAAGAAACTAAAACCAAATAAAACAGAAATAAAGACAACAATGCTTAAACATTGTCAGGAAGTGGTAACAGTATCAACACGTGCTGGCTACGATGAAGAGTTAGCCTATATGCTTCTCAAATGTTGCCATCAGTATCGGAAACTGCTGTCACGTCAAGGATCAAGTAATTATTTCTTTTGTTGCCTACTATTTCTCAACAGTTTTTCAATAATATTCGAAAGTTTTGAACTTTTTTCTATGTCAAAACATGTTTTTTTTCTCTGTGAGCTTTAATTCACTAGACAGTTGTTAATTCTCAACATAAATTGATGATTATAGATAGACAAATAAAAATAAAAAACAAATGCTTTTTTGATTTATCTTTCTAAGACTATATTCTATTTGAATTAGTAAAACTGACAGTATCTATTTATGTTGCAAAGATGTAAGTTCAGAAAAGATAGTGGAAACAAGCAAAGATTGTAATTTTTAGTGAAAATTAATCGTTGGTTTGAACAGCTGAAACGGAACAAAAAATTAAAAAGTGGTATTACGGTAAAAAAACGAAGTCGTTCCAATACATCACCAAAAAAAATGGCCTTACAACAACAACAACACCCACAACAGCATCAGCAACAGTCGTCGTTCGAAGGAGATTCTGTTACAGTCGTGAACCTGCAAGCCGATGCTGATACTACGTCGACGATTAATGGAACTACTCGGTATGATTAAATTTTAAAAGCGCGAATGCTTCCTTAACCCTTTTTTATTTCACCGTATAAGTTTATACTTGGAAGCAATAAGAAAAATATAATTACGGTGCGAGAAAAATGCTTCAACAATGACTTTTAAAAAATTAAAAAGAGATTTTTTATTTGTTTATTCTTATATTTAGATTTATACATACTTTTCTTCTGCTTTTAACCACTAATACAACATTAATGCATGCTTTCAAGTTCTTTTTTGTTCACTCATCTACTAACTCGCTAATCGACATTATTGGTACTGAGTGATATCCCAGTATAGCAATAATATCATATCTTTAAGACTGGCAAAGATGAAAGCCAAAAATTTTACTGGTGAACTTTAGGCAGCTAATTCGACTTAATAAATCTGTTTAATCTACGGGTATGATCTTTGTAAAGTGATTCCTTCGCCTAGTTCACACCTGACACTGAACAGTTGATGAACTATTTCCTCTCTTCTATATTTCAGCTTTCTTCTACATTTCCTGGCAAATTTTCCAAATTTTAAAAATCAAGTAATTATTTCTTAATTTTTAGAAATCGTTTTTTTTTCTTTATCTGATGTTAAACAGATAACATAGAAGCGGCAATCTAATATCATTTTCATCGGCTTTCCATCTCACACACAAACTGTGATTATTGTGTGTTACTTGATAAGGAATGATGCTGAAAATTTAAAAAAAAAAACTATTTTTAACGACAAAATAAATAAGTAAAAGTTTTTGTTCATAAATTTGCCGTTTACGGCGCGTAATACCGGAATAATACTATAATATATCCTCAACGGTCCAAACAACTCAACGATTATTTCACCATGATAACAAGTATAAGCCATTTCATTACTATCTTGACCTTTAAATTCTTCTCCTTAATTGAACGTTGTTGTCTTATGACTTATTTGTTTTATAATAATTTATGCTTTATCAAAAATGCAAAGAACGTACTTTAAAACAACTCATCTATGTTTTTTAGGCTTTTAATTTTTTGGACTTGATTGTAACTTTTTAAAGGTTGACATATAGCCAAAGACAGTGTTTGTTTTCTTGTTTCTTTTACTGTATTCTCTAAGAAGCGATCATGTTCTATGCGTCAATGTCAATTTTGTTAGGTTGTTTTCTAGTCAACTTATTATAGCTGATATTTGTAGAAAGAAAATTATTTTATTGGCTGCCCAGAGACGTTCGTAACACTTATGAACTTTTCACTTTAGGCATTCCAGAAGCCTTCTTTATCTTTCGTCTTGCAATAATTAAATCAGCTTTATTGTCAGTAGCTCTCGTTTATTTTTGAGGTTTTTTGGGAAGGGGGAGGGGGGTGGAGAGAAAAAGAACGAAAGAATTTAGTTGTTTTGAAAGAAAGAACAAGTTTTCTATTGGTTTCAACAATTTTAATATTGTTATTTAAAAAAGGTTTATTTTTTCTTGTTCGTTGATGTTGCTTTAAGTCTCAAACCAATCCTGGTACATCAGATGCCATTCAAAATACCACTGCTTTAGTTAACCAAAATGTTTTGTTTAGGCAGCTTAAAGAAATCGACGAAATAGAGCAACTAATTTTTCTTGTTGTTCGCTGTTAAAACAATAGCATATTACCCGCAAACACCAT